GACAGCAAGCCAAATGAACAGTGATTCCTTAGTAATGTCTTATACATTCAAATTCAAATTCCCCTCGTTGGCCCTCCCCAAATTGCTTTGCTTGAGACAGAATTCAAACAAGACAGAATTCAAACTTTGCATTTGGTTCTTGTATATCTGAAATGTTGTTAAGTCTTAAGCCGCCCTCCCCAACCCTTCCCCGGGCACTGCCCGGTGGAAGAGACCATTTAGGATGTCCTCTGTGATGGATGCTACACTTTCTGGATGCGTCTGATTCCTCAGCCTGTCATCTAACTCATTTTTCTGTGCCCCATATTTCACGTTGGCCGGAAGTCCGAAGAGGCTTGACGGGTTTTCAAACTCTGGCGAGCGTCAGACTCAGCTGGGTAACGTGGTAGGAACACAGAGGCCGAGGCCCGAACCTGCCTTGGTGAGGCTGGGGCTCTGTGCTCCCCACTAGCTTTTCAGGGTCTTCTGGAGCCTGGACCACGGGGGATGCCATGGGCTCGTGTTGTACACAGTGTGGCACACTCTCGTGTGCCCACTGCAGTGATGCTGGTACTGACAGGGGCTGTGGGCGGTGACAGGCTGACCCCTCAAGGTCAAGTCTTATGTGCTCCCTCGCCTCGCCTTCCGTCTTGTCCAGATTCCTCAAGACATTTTGCCACGAGTTATTTCCATTTTCTTTTATTTCTTCAATTTCTCCTCTCTGGACTTTCTCTTTCTCTTTCCAAAAAGAAAAAAATAAGAAAGGAAAGGAAAGGAGAAGAGAGGAGAGGAGAGGAGAGGAAAAGAAACATCATGCTCTAAGTGTGGCTTATGATAATAAAGCAATGGGTAAAACATAAAGGTCCAAGGAGAGAATTGGCTATATATGTTATTGAACAAAGTCATTTGCGCCCCCCAAATTTACATCATACAAAAACCTATGAAGGTATGAAGAAAAATTCCTGCTACAACATGAAATGAATACAAAGCTACAAAACGGACATGCAAATACAAAGTAGCCATATCACGCATAGCTGTGTAATTTAAAAAGTTTTGTTATGTTTATTTTTTAGAGAGAGAGAGAGAGCATGTGTGCATGTGAGTGGGGGAAGGGCAGAGAGAGGTGGGGACAAAGGGTCTGAAGCAGACCCCGAGCTGTCAGCGCGGAGCTCCGCGCCAGGCTCGAACTCACGAACCGTGAGATCATGACCTGAGCTAAAGTTGGACGCTTGACCGACTGAGCCACCCAGATGCCCCTGAGTTTTGAGGAAGCACTCTAACAAGCAACAGAACTGTCATAAATACCTGGACCTAGAGAACAAGCATAGGGAACGGTCAGTTGTGATTTTCTCTGGGTGGTGGGATGGGGCGAGACGTTCATCTCCGTCTTTGGGTCTTTGACAATTTCCAAATCCTTCTAAAATGGGCACACATTAATTTCAGAACCAGAAAACGGTTTAAAACCACAGAAAGCGTTTCTTTTTCTTGATGTGGTGCCCTCAAGTTAGCATCGAAATGATTTACAACCTTCCCCCCCCATCCCGCCCCTTGAAGGCGTTGTTGACACTTATTTTTCCTGTACTTAAGTCCCATTCATTCATCTTGTAATCCTGCATGGTACTCTGTTTCCAGTCCAAACAGACGGGAGTGTGTTTGCCAAGAATTCCGGCTCTCGCCTTGACCTCTCTGAAGCATTTGGAAGTGTTGACATTGTTGAATTCTTTCTCTTTCTTGAGACAGTCTCCTCCCTTTCCTCCCACGGAATTACTCATTTTCTTACAAATATTTATCGAATACTTGATATGGGCCAGGCGGTGTTCTAGGCCCCTGGGATACGTCGGTGAAAGGAAGCAGACAAAAACCTCCTGGGGTTTACATTCTGGCGGGGGGAGGGAGGAGGTGGAATAAACAGAAAGTGTAAGAAATAAGTTATGTGTTATTTTTTTAAAAAAAATTTTTTTTCAAACATTTATTTATTTTTGGGACAGAGAGAGACAGAGCATGAACGGGGGAGGGGCAGAGAGAGAAAGGGAGACACCGAATCGGAAACAGGCTCCAGGCTCTGAGCCGTCAGCCCAGAGCCCGACGCGGGGCTCGAACTCACGCACTGCGAGATCGTGACCTGGCCGAAGTCGGACGCTTAACCGACTGCGCCACCCAGGCGCCCCATGTTATGTGTTATTGAAGGTGATAAGGACCACCGGAAGGACAACCCAGGCTAAGAGGTACAAAGAGTTCGGGAGGGCGCTGGGTGGTCTGTGGTGGCTCTAAGTCTCATGGTGAAAAACGTCAATGGGCACAGACTCAAGTGAGGTGAGAAAAGTCACTGGGAATTATTGGGGACATCCGGGAAAGAGGGGTCCAAGCAGAACGATGGTTGGTGCAAAAGAGCAGTCTGAGACAGACCGGAAGCCCACATGGCGAGGGTGGCTGGGAGCGACCAGAAGCAGGGGCTGGGAAGGGGGAGCTTCGTGGGCTTCCCTGGAGACTGGGCTCTTGCTTGGAGGGGAATCCAGAGCTGCTGAGGGCTTTGGGTGCTGTGGCGGAATGTGACTTCCGTGTTGAAGGCCGTCAGGCAGAAGCAGGGAGACCTGTGAGGAGCCCCTTCAGGTGACAGGTGTGCGAGGTAGCAGGTGGAAGGAAGTGCTGGGATTCCGGATCTGGCTTGAGGACAGAGCCCACACCATATCTCTCCGTCCATCGCTGCCCTCTCTCCTTCCTGCCTCCTTTCTCTCTGCACCCTAGCCCTCGGTAAACCCGGCCACTTAGGTGGCTCCCCTAAGTTCCCGCAGTCAGGCAGACAGGTCCCCACACCTTTTTCCAGCTGAGAGCCACATCCCAAGATCCCTCCAGGTGGAACACCGTGGCTGAGCTTTCTGTCTCTTGGATAGAGATTCAAACCTGGAACCTGGGGAGCTTGTTCTCAGTCTCTGAGTGATCAGAAGAGCTGTCCTGTGCTGAGAATTGAAGTGGGTCCCTTGGACTCTCATTTAGAATGAGGAACACAGTACTTCGCAGAGTACATTCACATCTAGTATTCCATTATTTCATGTGATGAAATAACCAAGCCCAGCAATAACCCTGGGATATGGCATGGCAGGTACAATTACACTTGCTTATGAGTTAGATAACTAACACATCGAGGGACTTATTCAGTGATGGTGGCAGCGAGTGGCGGAGACGGGACTAGAACTCGGGTCTCCTGGCTCCTCGTCAGTGGGATCAGTCTCTGGGAATCCTGGAACCCTTATCACAACATCATAAAGCACAAGTAAGAGCATCTTGGCTGCCATGCGTTCCGGCCAAAAAATAACTGTGAAAACAAGCAAACTTCTCAGGGTTAGTGGACATGCCCTGGTGCCCAGGCTCAGATGGAGTGCTCCCCCCCCACCTAAAGAACCCAGCTTGGGCTGCCCCTTCTCCTGCTGCTCCCCCGGCGATGTGAGACCCTGCCAGGTGCCATCTATCCATAAGCTATGCCAGGACGCTATCCTGCCACCAACAGGGCCCCTTTTCTTTGGCTTTTACTTTGCTATTAAGAGAGGGAAATGAGACACCAGCTCAAGTTTTACTCTGGGAGTGCAGAGTATAGACAGACCGCCGCCGGTTGTAGGAGCTGGGAGGCTCGGCGGCTGGTAATGGCCTTCAAACTGAATGGACGATGAAGGCTGAATGCGATAGCGCAGTCAGGCTATAATTAATTTAGAATTTGAAATGGAGAGAAACTTTAGTTATCTCAAGCTGGGCAAACCAGAGGTTGCCGTAGGGCTGTAATTCCTTCTCACATGCCTATCAAAACTATGTACCTAAAAAAGTCATCTCCATTCCACCATGGAGGCCCTTCTCTCTGACCCATTTCCCATTATTAGACCAATTAGTACTCAGCTTCTGTTCCAGGAGATTAATGATCTGTGGGTGGAAGGAAGGGGGAATTTATGGGCTGGCTCAAGGTGTCGCCAGAGCCCTCCTCTCTCCCTAGTTGCTGCCCTCTGTGCCATACAGGTGAGCAGTCAGGACTCAGCCCCCCTGGCAAGTGGTCCTCCTGGGGAGGAGCAGGACTTTCACTGACAGAGCAGTTGAAGGTGGAGCTTCAACCAGGGGGCGGGAGCTCTTCTGAGAAGGGTGAAATCTCCAACTCCTGGCCACAGCAAGGGGCTGCTGCCTTAACTGTTACATCTCTGAGGGACCTCCACAGGAAGGGTTTCCTCTTTCCCTTTGCCCAAGTGGCACACTTTGGCACTTTCCAGAACAGGAAAGAGAGGATCAGATGAGAAGATACCCTTTCCTAGCCTGTCAAAGAACTAAACAAAATGTTCTTCTTAAATGTGAAGACAATGGAGTCAAGCGTATCTCTGAGGTCTGTGGTCCAAAAGATAGGAATAGGGACACCTCGGTGGCTCAGTCGGTCAAGCATCCGACTCTTGATTTCTGCTCAGGTCATGATTTCACTGTCCCTGAGATCAAGCCCCGTGTTGTGCTCTGTGCTGAGCAAGGAGCCTGCTTGGGATTCTCTCTCCCTCGCTCTCTGCCTCTCCTCTAGCAAAATAAATAAATAAATAAATAAACATTAAAAAAAAAAGTAAAAGATAGGAATAGCATGACAAGAATAAAGATGTAAATAGATATGCGAAACCCAACTAGAGGGAGCAACAATTGGCTGGAGGACTGACCGCTGTGTCACAAGTCAGCAGAATGAGGTCATGTAACACAAGTATAGGTGAAATACATGTGGAGACCACCCTGTTTGGAGACTATTGGCACAATGACTCTGAAGCCAGGATTCGCCTGGCAGTCAAGGTCACCAACAAGCACCCAAGCCATATTCCAGCCAGAGATCTACTGGTCATTAAAAATTCCCCAGTTAACTGGGAGGCAACCACAAAAATTGTATGAGAAAATAACCCAAAAGTTGTCTGGATTGATCCCCTAGCAGGGAAACGTCTTTCAATCACAGAAAGATCTAGATTTAAACTTAGAAATGCTTAAGAGAATCAACCCACTGTGAGACTATTTTGTGGGTAAGGTGTTGAGAGAGCATTTTCCATGCGTTTCTCCTGTTTCTGCACATCTTGTGAGCAGACGCATGACTGCCTTTCTTCTGCACTATCTTTTCAAGGATATGTGGTGAACAGCTTTGGAAAACAGAGACAGAGTTCCTCCAGAGCAAAGGGCAGGTTTATTTACTGTCCAGTACAATAAAGATAGCGCCATCCTCCACAGCAAAAATGAAGCAGACTTACTGTCCATTAGAAAAGATCTGGGCGCCCTAAGCTCAGGGCTCCTCTCCCATAATCCATTGTGGACGCAGGTGTCACTTGGCCCGTTTCACACCACCCTTGGGGACTGGGACTCAGAAACTGGTATAAATGCTGAGATTCTACTATTGCTATGAGTAACTAAGTCCTTCGTCTCTGACTCAGAAGGCTCCTATCCTTTGCCAGCAGCCACCAAACTGATTATTTTGGAAGTAGGCTAAATTTCAGACTCTTCACAATTCTTGACGTAAGTATTCAACTCATATTTAGTATTTAAGTTCCTACAGTACTTAAGAGATTTTGGCTTATGCAAGTAATAGGCCAGTTTTGTGATTCCATATTAAAATTAAGTGATTTACATTTGTGATTTTTGGGGGGCACCTGGGTGGCTCAGTCGGTTAAGAAGCAGACTTTATTTAGCTCAGGTCATGATCTCACAGTTCATGGGTTCGAGCCCCGTGTTGGGCTCTGTGCTGACAGCTCAGAGCCTGGAGTCTGCTTGGGATTCTGTGTCTCCTTCTCTCTCTGCTCCCCCCTTTCTGCCCCCAAAATAAATAAACGTTAGAAAAATAAAATAAAATAAATTTGTGATTTTTTTTAATGGAAATTCAAATTACTTCACATGTAATGTAGTATGGATTTCAGGAATAGAATTTAGTGATTCATCACTTACATATGACACCCAGTGCTCATCCCAACAAGTGCCCTCCTTAATGCCCATCACACATGTAGCCCATCCCCCCCCCACCTTCCCTCCCCCAACCCTCAGTTTGTTCTCAGCTCAGTATTTAAGAGTCTCTTCTGGTTTGTCTCCCTCTCCGTTTTTGTCTTTATTTTTCCCTCCCTTCCCCTATGTTCTTCTGTTTTGTTCCTTAAATTCCACCTATGAGTGAAATCATATTTGTCTTTCCCTGACTAATTTATTTTGCTTAGCATAATACATTCTAGGGTTACTAAATTTATATAGAGTGTAAGAACACTTAAAAGGACCTAGATTCATCTTGTTTATAAATGACAATTAATTAGACTTATGAAAATTGACTAAAGACCCTGGAAAGGCTTGGTTTACCTATCGGACAATTGAAGTACCTTACAGAGGAAAAAATATATATTAAATTTACAAACCCAATTTCATTTATTTATTTAATGTTTATTTATTTTTAATTTTTTTAATGCTTATTTATTTTTTACAGAGAGGCGGAAAGAGTGGGAGAGGGGCAGAGAGAGAGAGAGACAGAATCTGAAACAGGTTCCAGACTCTGAGCTGTCAGCACAGAGCCTGACGTGCGGCTCAAATTGGGGAACGGTGAGATCATGGCCTGACCTGAAGTCAGACGCTCAGCCAACTCAGCCACCCAGGGGCCCTGCCCGCTGCCTTCTTTAAGTTTTTTTGGTGTTTGTTTGTTTGCCGTCGTTAAGTTTTTAGGCGACCTTCTAACCCAGAATGAGACATTTCTTCTGATTTCCTACCTTAGCCAGAATGAGGAAGTTTCGAGAGTTTCCACTTGGGTTTTTCTTACCACTGTGGCTCTTACTCCGCAACGGTGTCCTTCCAGCTCTCACGTGCGTCCTTTCCAGTGACACATGCAGGGAACAGACAAATGAACACGAGGTGGGGTGTGAATCCGTTGAACTCACTATGAGACGGATTTGGAGCTAGAAGTTCTCCACATCAGGGGGAGGGTTGGGATGGCATTTTAAGTTTTAGCCCAGATCTTCTAGCCACAGCTCTTTAAAGATCTGAGTCATTCCTTTTCCTCAGGAGAAATAGCCATAAGTTTTTTCAGTGACAGATGAAGGAGATAATCACTATATGCTTTGCTGTGATGCTGCAAGGGCATTCCTCAAGGACACCCAGGCCCCCCTTCGGCAATTCGCTCTGGGTCTGACAACAGGCTCGGGTCTGGAAACCGGGCAAAGCATCATGGTTTTCCATTGCAGCAGCTGACATCAGTCTTTGCCTCACCTGCCCTTCGTCTTTGGTTACACAGTTCAAGCAACATGCTGCAGTCTCACCACTAAGAACACCACGGTCTGTTAGCCACGCCCCCCTGACTCTTGCAGATAAGGGTCCAGGTTGCCACTGGAACTCTTCTGCTATTACAGTCATTTGTCCACGTCACCTCTGATGGGTTAGCCCTGCCAGCCGTGCTGTGCTTTTCTTTAAAAGAAAAAAATAAAGTTTACCTTCGAGGGAGAGAGAGCGAGCGAGCCCGTGAGCAGGGGAGGGGCAGACAGAGAAGGCGAGGTAGACTCTCCGATTTTACAGAATCTACTTTTGTATGCCTGCCTCCCAAGGCTGTTCTGGCATTAATGTCTCATTTGGTTGAGGCCATCCTTTATCACCACGCTGCGGGGCACTGTGTCAGTAGCAGATTAGGGGGGCGCTAAGGGTCCTTGCCAGGGTGCTAAATCCTGAGTCATGGGAGAGTGCCCACATGTCAGTGAAGTCTCCCTTCTCCAGTCTTCTGTTTTCTTTCACGCCAGTCATCTCAAGACTCATTCCCAGATGGGACCTCCTGAATCACGAGGGTGCATGTTAGCTGGGTTCCGGGGCCCTTTCTGAAGACGGGAGGCATTTTTCGCGTCTGCCGTGCTGAGACCTGCTAGGGCTAATTATCGGTCTTCCACAGGGACTGGCAAACTGTGGTCCACAGGTCAAACACGGCCTGTTTTTGCAAATAAAGCGTTGTTAGGACTCCAGCCATACCCATTCATCTGCATACTGGCGAGGCTGCTTTTTTGTTTTGTTTTGTTTTGAAGTTGATTTATCTTATTTTGAGAGAGCGCGCGCAAGGGCTCGTCCACACGAGTGGGGGAGGGGCGTCAACGAAGCATGGCTCGAACCCACAAACTGTGAGATCTTGACCGGAGCCGAGATCACGCTTAACCGACTGAGCCACCCGGACACCCGTGCTTTCTGGATGCAGTGCACGAGTTGAGTAGTTATGAGAGGGGTTGCGTGGCCTGCAAAGCCTAAGATATTTGCTGTCTGTCCCTTTGCAGAGGAAGTTTACCACCCCTGGCCGAGAAGCCACGAGGGCAAGTATCATCTTACAAAGCACCTGCTTCAGGTGAGACCTCCACGTCACCTTGGGGCAAGGGGAGGCTACGAAAGCACCGAGAGGGCCAGGTAACCTGAGGATTGAGGGGTCTGGAGCACACGTACCCAGACGACCCATTCTAGGCCGCCGGGTCCCGCTCTTCTTTACGGCGCCTTGACTTTGGCACCGGCTACTTGCTGGGGCCATAACATCGGACCTCACCACGCGTTTTATCAGGTCCAAAGCCACGTGCACAGCGGGATGTGCCATCGGGCCCCGGCAGGCGACAGTCCTTTTACCTGCTACAACAGAGGGTTTCTGGCTTCCAATCTGGTGCCCTCGTCAATGGTTTTCTGACTTGGGTCTGCCGTTGTCTTGCTGCCCCCTGGGTTTCTGGGAAACCCCGTAGCCCCAGGCAAACCAGACCTGTTGGCCACCCTCACTGTGGTGTCGCCGAGGTAGTAATTGCAGGAAGCGACGAAGACCCCAAGACTGGGGGATCATGGGGAAGGGTTTTGTCTGGGCAGGGGGCAGCAAAGGCAGACCCATAACGGGTTACGGGAAAAACCATTAACTGGAACCACCTGTAGCTCTTGGAACCGACTTCATCTCCAGAATGAAGAATCATCACTGAGCGACCCTGGCAGCGATGGGAAGCAGCAAGTCCCTTCTTCCTCGTCCAGCCCCCTGTTTCCCTCCAGCGTCCCACGGCGCCCCAGAGCCTAATTCCACCCAGGCGGCGTGGAAATGGAATGTTGAGAGTCCCAGCTGCAGCATCACAGGGCACAGAAGGTCACCTCCCCCCTGGGGACACGGCTGCAGGTGCCAAATAACCAGCACGCATCCCGGGTATTCACAGAAGGGAGTCTTCATGATGGGCTACAGCATGCCAGGGGGTATCACCACCCCCTCCCTGACAAGACCCGGGTCCTTGTCGCCATCTACTAACAAATAAATGACCCAAGACACAGGATCTGCTGTCCGGACCTCGTAATACCAAGTGTCTTCGTTTGGACTCCCCAGATCTGATCCCAAAGCAAGGGTTTGAGTGCAAGTGGTTTATCTGGGAGGTGGGGGGACAAATAAAGGGTGTGTTATCGGCCAGCCACCCCCATGGGTGGCTGCGGGGAAGCTTTGGCCTCCAGGGCCACAGCGGGTCCCTCTTAGGCTCTCGAGCTTGGGGAGGGGTTCACTGCACCGGCGCCACAGCTCTCCGCAAAGTGGCTGTTGATGGCACACGGTGACAACCACCGATCAGGCAGGAGGAGAAACAGGCGAGGTCTGTGGTCCCCATGAGCGAGCTGCCTGAGAGACCCAGTAAATAAGAACATGGCAGGTGGGAGGGGGCTGTGGTATTTCCGTGCAGGGTTTGAGGACTGGTCCTGTCCTGCCTCACCTGGGGCCCAAGTGACCTTCTGTGGCTGCAGAAAAAGGCCTCGGGCAATGAGACACAGCTGGAAGTCGGCTGGAGCACCCCTAGAGCGGAGGGTGCAGGCAGAGCACCCACAGCTTCTGCTCCAGGGAGGCAGGAAGAACAGACAACTGGGGCTCAGCAAGAGGAAAAACTCACCCTCCTCGGGCCTGGGGCTCGCTGCTAACGCGCCGCACGGGGGTCACCTCCTCACGAGCCATGGAACTTGCCCTATTGTTATTGCCATTTTGCAGATGAGAAAACCGGGGCTCCCAAAGGTCTGGCAACTCGCCCACAGCAGTGACCGACGCGGGCTGAGGTCCTAGGTCTGCGCGACCCGGAGTTAGCACGCCTAAGCGCCCTGCGACGGCTGCCCGCCCCCACTGGAGATGGCGTGGGCAGGCAGACACGCGCACATCTCCCCCAGGTGCCAGGCATGCAGGGCAGAGGCTCTGTGGGCCACTTGCCCATCCCAGGCCGGCTTGTCCCTGGCGATACTGCAGCACCGACTCTCTTAACTGAGGTCCCGTGGACAGGGCTGGTTTTGCTGAGCCAGAGAAAACACCCAATTTGCCTGGGTCTTGGAAGTTTCCTTTCTCTGGTTATTTTTGCAAGGCCGGGAAAAGAACAAATCCTACCCTAAACTGACTACCTTCTTGCTGGGCGTGGTTTATGGCAATGATGTCAGGACCCCCCCGGGGGGGGGGGGGGAGAGACTGGACCTTGCAAGTGTCATTTGGCCCTTTGAGTCCTCATTCCATGATGTTTAATCGTTGACAGCTCTACCGACTGGGGAACAGATAAGACTTGTGTCCTTTTTAGATGACACATTTGACTTCAGTCCCTCCCTCCGTACCCGTTCATAAATTGGCAAGGCCCCCCAGTGTGGAATATCTCGTTTGAGATATTGAGATATTGAGAGGGAGTTTCATTTGATCTACAAATCTATAAATTTATAGATTTATTGATAAATTTATTTATAAATTTATCTATAAATCTATAAATCTGGTTGATTTATAGATTTCTTGCTAATTCTTTCTGTTTTTTCTTAAGGGTTCATTGTGGAATAATTAAAACACGCACAAAAGCAAAGAGAAAAAGGAAAATCAACCCCTATGAGCGCATCACTCAGCTGCGGTCATGATTAACTCAACCACTCTCGTTTCGCCCACACACTCCCCGGATCCCTGGATTAGTTAGACCGTATCACTGTGGTGCTCTTCTAAAAGTATCGATTCCTAAGCTACTCCCTCTGAATTTTCTGATTCAGTAAGTCAGGACTGGGGTCTGAGAATCTGTATGTTTTTATCAGTTCCTCGGGTTTCGGAAGCTATAGTATAAACAAACGAACACGGGTTCTACAGCAGGCAGGTCCTAGTATGAGTCCTGGCTTTGCCCAAGCTATGCAACTCTGGGTGAAAATTCACAGTTTTCAGACTTTTTGTCTCGAAGAACCACCACCTCTGTCAACCTGTGGTCTACTGAGACCGTCTGATCCTTTTCACATTAAATAAATGTGATCAAACCTAGTATCCCTCAGCCTTCCCTTGTCTTGGTGCTGGGGTAGGGATGGGGGGCCGGGTTACTTGGGAGCTATCCTGTTTGGGGATGGTTGTGTTTGCAAAAATCTCCCCAACCCTGTCGCCGCACCTCCTTCTGCCCTGTGTAGCCTGCCTCACTCTGTTTGCTCGAACTCCCCCTGCCCAGCTCCCTGGGAAACTAAAGGGTGAAACTTCTTCTAGATGGCGGTCTTCACTTACAAAATTCCTGGACCTGGCGTAAGCTTGCATTTGGTGCAGGTGGCTAACCACCTTTTTTTTAAACCAAGACGAATCCTTAAGTTCCGGGGTTGGCGTTCAATCGCTGGCTGCTCGTAAAAAAGCAAGCAAGCTTCACCAAACTGCAAACACAAGAAGCTTGCAAGCTTTTGGTGTGCTCAGCACTTTTCGAAGGAAGACCGCATCCACTCGCCAGGATTACAGCTTCTTTTGTGTTGTTTTGTGATTTTAATTAAATGGAGTTCAGAGAGAGGGAAAGTAAATAATTGGAGGGGGCTGTTTACAAAGGGATCTGTTCCTCTGGGCAGAGTCTCCGGAGCCCCTGGGGGCTTGTGCAGGAACCCAGGAACTGCCACCACCTGACACCAGAAGGAATGAGAAGAGGGAGTCCAGGAGAAGAGACAGCCCTGAAAGTGGCAGCGTCCTCAGGCTGGGAGACACACGCGGCCCCGGCCACCTCGCAGGGAGAGAGCCCGGGGGGGGGGGGGGGGGGGGCAAGCGCACAGCCTCACTCTCTCCACCCCTCCCCTTCATTCTCCTCACTGGCTAAACACAACCGAAAACCATAGAATTTGGAAGCCTGTCGACGTCATCCATATAGACCTGGATCCGACACGGCAGGAGTAAAGTGTGCAAGTGGATCTGTACGATCTAACAATAACCATCTGGCAGGTGCCTCAGTTTTCTCATCTGTAAAGTGGGAATCATAATGGAACCAGCTCCTAGTGTGCTATAAGGATTGAGAACTGAACGATGCCAAGTGCTCATACAGCACTCTCCCTCCTGGACAGCGGACAGCACTACAATAACAGCACGTGAGCACTACAGGACTAGATCTACTTAGTAAGCACTGTGTTAATGTTAGTCGTCCTTCTCAACTCAGAGGAAGTGATGAGCATTCCAGGCAGAGGAGACGCAGAGGAGAAGGGTTGCACCACCCAAGGGCTGGCCATGGTTCTAGAGACTAAGGAGGGCTGGTTCCCTCCTCCCTAGCTCCCCCTGACTTCTTGGAGAGAGCCCAGGTCTACACAGAAGGCACACAAACATTGAAGGGAAGCCTGAGCACATCATTGAGCCTGAAGTTGGGAACCGGATTACATTAAAAGCAGTGGCTTGAGGGTTTTGATCTGAGTCAAGAGAAGAGATGAGTTCAATCCTAAGCTTGAACATGGGTTAGTCAATGGCTGGGAGGGTGAGGACAGACATTTCTCCATGCTCTGCTGTCAGCTACCCAAGGCCAAGGTCATCCCACATCTAAACCCACCACCCTACGCCTGGAAAGGAATTGTCCTTTCCCATCGTCCAGGATATTTTAAGGCAAGTGACTCCATGTCGCTGTGGGGTGTTCCGAGGCACTGGAGAGAAAAAATGAGCCACATGTCCACCTAAGAATGAAAACAGGACCCACCACAGTCTGGACTGAAGCGCTGGGAAGGCTGCCTTTACCCCTCTCCACGGCATGGGTAACGGAGGAGAGTGGGGAGGCCAGGATTGGTTTAATGTGGATCACGGATGCCCTGAGCTCAGAGGCATCTGAGCTTCCTCATTCCTATTCCTGGGAGGGTGGATTGTGGGTGGACGGAGCATGGACAGACCACTTGCTGACTATCCTCTGTGTGATCCCAGGGAGCAGACTCTCCTTGTGCTTCCTCTGGGGACTAGAAGCTGGACCAGGCGATATTCAGTCCCGTCACATCTCAGCTCTGGCATTTTGAGTTTATGTTTCTTTTGTGGGCTTGAACAGTCAGTGGTTCCTAGGTCCTAGAGAGGCAGAAGAACATGTTGGAAAGGACAACTCCAAGAATCGAGAGCAGCACAGTCCGGGATGGTGGGCACCCATCAGTCTACCCCATTTCTACCCTTCCTGGCTCAGGCCCTGCCAGATATGGGCTCTGGGTTGAGCCTCCAGCGGTGATGGGTCCGTTCATGTTCGCACAATGGTCTGCAGTAACAACCACTACGGTTTGAGAAGGATAAGTATTAATTTTCTTCGAACGTTTGGAAGAATGTCTCTGAAACGACATTACAGAGCACGGCCACCCCACTTTCCTGGGTGCCTGACCTGCAGTCTATTACATGAGAAAGAAAGAAGTTTCCGCCTCGCGTAACACACTGTTCTTTGGGCGTCTTTGTTACAGCACCTTGCCCTGCGCCTTGACTAATGCAGCAAGCTAGCCTTGACTTCAGAGTCCCACTCTGTGATTTCCTAACCCCATGTCCTTGGGCGGGTGACCTCACCATTCTGGGCCTTAATTCCCTCCACTGGTAAATTGGAAGTATCGGCATCCATCTTGAAGGGTTTTGAGAATTCGAATAAAGCATGTAAAGAATCTTCGGCGGTGCCAGGCACGCGGCAGGGTCGCGGCGCAGTTACACTGTAGGAATGACGGCTCGCGCGATAACGACCGGTCTTTCGCAAGCTCGGCCGCTACCAACGCATGATTCTTCTCTTTGGAGAAAACTTACCTTTCCAGAAAGGTGTGTGCCACTCAGTCCCGCCCCCTCTCCATTCTCCTGCCCTCCTAGGTTCTTCATTCCATCACACCCCACCTACACTCCGATCCTGATGCTAGACAAGTTATGACCTTAATCCCATCCCCATGTCTTTCCCCAGCCTTTCCCCAGTTCATCTTCCAGGCTCTGTTCAGGTAGAAGTCTTGTCTTTTTTCCTGACTACTCCCTGACCCACTCTTTTCACCCTTCTGCCCAACTTCATTGACTTAACTCACTTTGGCTTGACTTCATTAACCCGGCAACTTAAGGTCTGAGCTGACTCGTTTCTGCCACCTGCTCCTCTCCCTGTTTTTCCCTTTACTGATACCCCCTTCTATTTCATCCTCATTTCCTTAGCGCAACTTCTAGTCCACCTTGGCTGGAAATCACAGACGAGTCTGCCTGGAAAAGCTGCCAGCCGCTGAGCACCATGCCGCGAGCTGCCTTGCTCTAGTTGTATAGACATCAGACAGACACACTCAGAGGCACAGGCTTTGGGTCAAATCCTGACACAGCTCTGCTGTGTGCTAATCCTGGCCCTGCCATGCTTTAGGAACATGGTCGTGTCCAAATTGCCTCATTTGCCACAGGATTCCCTGCTGCGATATGAGGAAAGATGGGCTGCTGAGACTTAAAAGATGCAAGGCATTAAAATACTTAAAATAAAATAGGAAATGAAGGAGATTTACAACTGATACAATAGAAATACACAAAAAAAAGGGGCGCCTGGGTGGCTCAGTCGGTTGAGCGTCCGACTTCGGCTCAGGTCACGATCTCGCGGTCCGGGAGTTCGAGCCCCGCGTCGGGCTCTGGGCTGACGGCTCAGAGCCTGGAGCCTGCTTCCGATGCTGTGTCTCCCTCTCTCTCTGCCCCTCCCCTGCTCACGCTCTGTCTCTCTTTCCGTGTCAAAAATAAATAAACATTTAAACAAAGATCTGAACAGACCAATTACCAGGAAGGAGCTCAGTCATCAGTAATCAAAAACCTGCCAACAAACAAAAGTCCAGGGCCAGATGGCTTCACCGGTGAATTCTACCAAACGTTCAAAGAAAATTAATACTTATCCGTCTCAAACTCTTCCAAAAAATAGAACAGGAGGAAAACCTTCCAAATTCACTTTATGATGCCAGCAGTCCCCTGATATGAAAACCAAACAATGATGCCACAGAAAAGAAAATTACAGGCCAACATCCCTGATGAAAATAGCTGCAAAAATCCTCAGCAAAATACTACCCCGTTTAATTTTACAATCCACTGAAAGGATCGCGTCTGTGATCACGTGGGATTTATTGCAGGGATGGTTCAACATCCCCTCAATCAGGCCGTGTGATACACCACATTAGCAAAAGCAGAGGATCAAGATCACATGATCGTCTCCATAGATGCAGAAACAGCCTCTGACAAAATGCAGCATTCACGATAAAAACGCCTGTCGCTCTTCGCAGATGAAATGCTATTATACAGAAAACCCTGGACAGTTCGTCAGAAAACTGTTAGAACCGATAAGCAAGTTCGGTAACGTTGCAGGATACAAAATCAATGCCCTAAGATCGGTTGCAGTTCTATACGCTGAAGTATAGGAAAGAGAAGTGGGGAAAACAATCCCGTTGACAATTGGCTCAGAAAGAATAAAAAAGCTAGGAATAAATTTAACTAAGAAGGTGAAAGACCCATATGTTGAAAAGTACAAGACATTAATGAAAGAAACCCAGGACAACACAAGCAAATGAAAAGATATTCTGTGCTCATGGATTGGAAGAATGAAGCGTGTTAAAATGTCCATACTACCTACCAAAACGTACAGATTCAGCGCAAGCCCCCTCAAGGCGCCAATGGGATTGTTCACAAAAACATAGACCAAACAATCCTAAAATGGCTGTGGGAGCATAAAAGACTCCAAAGAGCCAAAGAAATCTTGAGAAAGAAAAACCAGGCTAGAAGCATCGTGCTCCTTGACTTCAAACTATGTTTCAAAGACGTAGTCATCAAGACAGTATGGTATTGGCATGTAAACAAACAGACACATAGATCGGTGGAACAGAATAGAGAGCTCGGAAATAAACCCGTGCGTATATGGTCAGTTATTTTGCGACAGAGGAGCTAAGAATATACAATGGGGAAAAGAGAGTCTCTTCAATAAAGGGCCTTGGGAAAATTGGACAGCCCTGTGCAAAAAAAAAAAAATGTAACTCAACTGCTATCTCACACCACACACAAAAATTTACTTAAAATAAAGACAAATACCTGAAACCATAAACTTC